TAGATGGATTAAGTAATGTAGTAATTGGATGGACAGTACTAGCGAAGAGGTCTATGGTTAGCTGCCTGCCTCTGGCGAGCGATGAAATGAAAAGAAGCAATAAACCAAGCTTGTGCTGATCTGGGACACACTGCATGTGATAAGTACCTACGTCGATGTGGTTCCACATCCAATTTATACCTCTATTATAGGTGAAGTAGGTTTGCGTGAGACGTCAGTAATTGTATAACGGCCTTCAATTACACTACAGATATGGTTTCCTAGAAACAATTTATAACGAATTGTTGATCCCCAAGTCTATAGGACCACGACTACAGCGTTCTTGGATCATACGTAGACTTCAGTTTACACAACAGTTCATATAAACTACCCGCCCCGTGATTCGCATGTCATTAGTTTCTGTTGGACTATTTAATAGTCTTCCTTATTAATATTAGTTTGATATGCTCCATCACACATTGCGCGTGACATATGATGCCCGGCCAGCTTCTCTCTCTCTCTCTCTTCTGCCTCTGCCTCTGCCTCTGTGTGTGGCGTATTCCTTAAGAGCACGGTTAGAATTTCACTCTATTTAGTGCGAGCATTTCCGCACAGTTGTAGGCACTAATGTCGATTTTGAGCTCGTGTGTTTTTTCTTTCTATTCCGCTAACACTTGCGGATGAGAGTGCGATGAGGCGGTCGGATGGGTAGGTACCTAGGTTAAAGAAGTGGAGGTTATAGTAGGATCCTAGTAGCTTGAGGTAGTAGCGACAGAATCTGGTTAAAGTGAGATCAACGGGAGTTTCCGTGCTGAAGGGAACGGGGGGGCTGGTGCCGGCCGCTGTTGCTACTGTCACGGTGTTGTCAGGTGAATCTGCGTTCCCACTGCAAACCGATTGAAACTGCGTCCCGCTTGCGAGTAAGTAAGACTATCCGACCTCCAGGTATACTTAATCGGGGACGATTCCGACATGGTGGTTGGTCGGACACTCTTGATACAACTGCGAATAGCCAAAGTACAAGACCCAATACAAGAGTTAAGCGCTCCCGAAAGATCCAGCATCGTGAGAGGAAGGGAATTGAATACCGGTAAAAGGTCTAATCGAGACGCGCATAGTGTACATGTTGTGTGTAACATTAGGCTCGGGGCCGATCTGGTAGGAGATGATCTCCAGCGGGTCCCATCTCACGAAGCACCGATCTGCATGCTCGCCGGTTCCCAGTTCAAGGTGGCGATGTCGACTACGTAGGTAGTTACTGTAGACTTCGGCTATAGTGACGCCATCACGTTCCCAGACTTCGCGCGAGTCTTTCATGATGCAAAGAGAGCCGATCTAAGTATAGATGTCTTGGATTATTCGTATGCAGTGGCGTCAAGAAAGGTCTAGGGAAGGGCGTCTAGAGGTGTGCGGTCCTGTAATTGCTACAGGTTTCTCGCTAAGAGTTTGAGGTTTCCGGGTTTGCGATGCGTTATAACCCAGGTATGGCTGTGTGCAATATTCCATTCTGCCTGATGCTGTGGTGTCTGTGTCTTTACCGTACTTTCCACTTCTGATTGCAGGTGGAAGTGTCCATGATCCGTGAGCAACAGGGGCATAAGGCATGAGGCTTTGGGACATCGTCAGGAAAAGTCACAGCTGGGCACGTCTGCAGCCGACATGGCCGCAGTTTCTGATGCTTCCTTTGAGGTCAGCTTTTCGGAAAACTTCTCTTTCGAGGTGCCTTGAGAGGCAATGAAGGCCTTGTATGTGTATAGTCGAGCAAGGTAGGTGGTGTAGTGGTTTGAGGGGGACGCCGAGCGAAAGGTAACCTATATCAATCCCTTCAGAGCGAGTATTATATGCGCAATCCGTGGCCGGCCATGTTAGCGCCTAATGCCTCTAAATCAGGACCATAAAGTGCCTCGACACGGTTAGCCTCAGCTTACCTGTCAACTTCGCTGCAATGGTTATCAGAGGTACTAGTTAGAACTGCAGTGGCTCAGCCTTTCCAACCGTTGTTGTCTGTCTTTATCAGTTGGTCTGTTTCAGAAAATCAATTCTCAACAGAAGACAACGAACTTCAAGCTGACGTGTGCTATGTAGCGGTAAACTCGGGATATCGAATGCTTTTTCAGAGATCGATACGTCAACAGTCGCAATCATGTTAGTTGCCTTGAGGAGACGGAACACTGAAGGGCCTGGCATTATAGTGTAGAATTGTGTGAATAGTTTCCCACTTCGAAGCTGGCAAGGAGAATGGTGTAGCTCGGGAAACGAATCTTCACAGGGCGGGAGGGAAGAAGACCGTGATTGCCGAGCAAAGAGAAGGAAGTGACGTTGAAGATGATGAAGCCGCGTGCATCAATAGGGTAGGTGGGGCCTGCGGGTCTCACATCCCCCACGTTTTAGCGGCAAGAGCGGTTCGGGTGCTGTCTTGGCATGAGACAAGAGATTTGAGCCAAGCCTGTCAGTCTCCCTCTGTGGATAATTCGGCGTTTTCTGGCGTTTCTGAGGAATCTTTGATACTTCAAGGTGACTTCCATCTTCAGTTCCTCCTTTCATATCCCACTCATCCCTCCGCATCGACAATCACTTTCGACTATAAGTTTCGATAATAGGTAATGTCGCATTGCATCGGATCGTTCCCACCAACGTTCTGGAGATATCATATGCTTCTTATAAGTCCGTCATCGAACCGACTTGATCGCTGCACCGGGATTACTCGTGCATGCCTGATGTCTGAACCTCACCGTTGAAGCTGAAAATAATAGTGGTGGTCGGGATTTGTCCAAGAAGCACCTGTTTTCCGGTCAAAACCTATGGATACATGTCAAGGGATGAAGGGTTGCATGGTGTGATGCACGTCTTCCACTCTAAAAGAACAAAGGCACACAAATGTGCGCCTATGTCCTCCATTCCAACTCCTGATCAACAATGCAAAATCAACCACATACTGGGTTCGGCTGGTGGACCTTCGGCATTGTCTGAACGACATCCTTCAACACCAAACAATATTCTACACCGAACGCACAATCGCCCGTACCGTCAATCCCGACTCTGTCATCTCCCATCTCGCTCTGCCACACCAATCCCGCGCCAAAGACTACTGGAAAAACATTGAGCTCCAAGCCCGGCGCATCTTCCTCATCCTGCTTAACCTCGGTGTCCCCTCACAAATATTTAAGCTGTCTTGATGAGGGCTGGGATGATTTCAACTGCCATTGTCGGGAAAACGGCTAGCCGAGGTGGTTTCAGGATCCGGAAGCAAAGAGGGTCAGGAAATTGGGATTGGAAGGGGCAGCCTTCAACATGTCGAACAAGTGTTTACGGGTCATACAGCTGGAGTTGACCTTAGTCAAGGGGGAGTGCCGGTGAAAAGCCGATGGCTGTGGAGGATAGGGTTGCACTTTCAGATCAGCCGCCTGCAATGTTGTTCACTCGACGACGCATACCTCTTATCGGCTCGAAGGAACAACAGTTGGGTGAACAAGGAGGGACGGTGGGATACGCATCTGTTGTGACAAGGGAAAACTTCCTCGTGTCAAGTCAACCAACCTACAGAACGAGCACCTAGCCCGTTACTTCGCAACTTACACACATCGCGAAAACAGCTACATGCTTTTCACTCCCGCTACGACGGAGCAGACCTTGAAGTTGATCTTGAGCAGTGGAAATCACCCAGCCTATGTCAAACATCCCGGAAAAGACAACAAAGGCGGCTCGTGATGAACTGAGTCCATTGTCTAGTCGACACCGCCTGCGGGCTGCACAGCAAGGGATTGGCACATGGAGCCATAAGACCGAGCAATATCTTTCTAGCAGAACCCAAAAATTGTCCTGTTATGGCGGACTTTCATGACGAAATTAGTCCTACTTTCAGGTCTGACCAAGCCACAGAAAGGGGGCAAGCGCAGCACCTAGGCAAGGAAGCATACAACTACCCTGATAATTGAAAGGATGTTGAGCCCCGATCCAATGCAACAACTTCGACCTTAGCATATTCCAACCCCGTTCCCAATTCAGGATCTTGTTCCTTCTCCACTTCTGGCTCTGCGCCCGCTTCCCACTGGTCGCATTCCACATCCTTTCGTTCATCACCTCTTCCTTCTCTTTTGGCCTTTCCCAGGGCTTTTTGAACAGCCTACAAGGACGCGATTACAGGCACAGCCTTGAACATAAGAATGGGCAACCAAGACAAAGAAGAACCAGCAGCCGAGCCAGCGGTCCCAAACGACTCCTTACCGTGCCATCGTCCATGTCGGCCGCGACGCTTTCGTTACCTATGAGGACTAGAACCGCGAGCCAAGGCAGTAGTGGTCATGGCCCTGGCAGGACATCTAGCCACCCTCAACCTCTTGAGGCAGCAGCAGCAGCTGCTGCTGTCATCCAGCAGAGCCCCCGCTCGAAAATGATGGGAAGGTTGAAGAAGAAACCTACCATGGCCACGGCCAAGGGTACGGAAAATCCTCGCGGTGTCGGTGGTGGTGGTGGTGGTGGTGGTGGTGATGGTGCTAGTTCTAACACGACAGGCGAAAACCTAGTTCTCTAATGAGGCTGACGAGCTTGACGAAGTCGTAGAGGTCGAGACATGGAAGTGGCGGACCGGGGGTGACGCTTTTTGGGGTTCCTGCTTGGAATTAGGTAGGTGGTGGTATCCTGGAGGGAACTAACGGGGGGAAAGAAAAGGTGGATGGACGAATAGGTAATGGATATTAAGCAAGGAAAAACGTTGTTGATGTTAATGGTGCTATACAGTCCGAAAGTGTTTTGTTTCTTAGCTCGAGACCCGTCAACTAGTCTAGGTGTTTCAACAACAAGTTGACGTGGATTCGATAATGGGGGCTTAGGATTAGCATTGAATATCTCACAATCAGATACTACTCGTTTATTGTTGACGAGAACTCTATACGCTTGAAAGTCACATTGCGGCGACCAGGAATACTGCGTAGTTGATATATATCTTGCTCAAGACACACAGTTGACAATCCAACCAGCATTGTACTGTCCTTCTCATAATATTGCCTTATTGGGCGACTGATGTCTTCGAGTTCAATGGCACGCACTGTCTTGGTACTCGTCTGGTCAACTGCGTAATCGACCGTCTGACTAGTGTAGTTGTTACACAGTACAGGCAGATCTTATCTCTTAGCCATTCACCTCGAAAGCCTGAAACCATTACAGGTTGTCGTAGGTAGATCCCATCTTCTTCAGCCATTCAGCTCTGAGGAAGGCCAATCTCCGCTGCCGCATATGCAAGCCATAACCAGCCTCATCATCCCCCACGCTTGTACATACATACTATTACCTCCATCAATCATTTTTTTACTTGATTCGGCTTCCATCTTCCGCAGCCGCCAATCACATGGAGTTTTCAACCTACCTACATACTGCGTATGTTTCGTATGGACCGCCTACCTTATCTTCTGCATAGCGGACCAAGATCCTGGCGTGTATCGGCACGAATTCCCGCTCAAGCTCCGGTGCCCGGATATGGGGGCCTCTGTACCATAGTCACTCCAGTCCTACTCGTGAAGTTATACCTAGCCAGGCTAGGTTTGTTACCAGCTGTCAAAGCATTCATTTGTGGACATCACGAAGCAGCAGCTGTGAATCATCGTGGGCTGGAGGCTGGTCCGATCAGTACCGCTGGCTGGCTGGCTGGCAAGTTAGCAAAACGACTGGTGGAAAGCCCCAGTCAGTGATGTTGCACACAACCGAGCGAGCACTCCGGTTCTATTCGATAGCACCCCCCTCACCACACCAACAGTCCCCCATTCATCATCAGATTTGAACGGCGGTTAAAAGAATGGGCTTTGCCGTTCGTACAATGTCGTTGTCCTTGTCCTTGTCCTTGTCCGTGTCCTTGTCGAACGCACGAGCGGACATTCATTTGATATCAATCAGATAGATAGGTCGTCAGTGCAGTGCGTCCACCCGATCTTCTTACTGCATCAAGGTACACTGCAGCAGCAGCTCAGTAGAGGTAGCCGGAGGTAGTGTACTTGACATGTTGCAACTAAGCAAGACGGCAACCGCGCAGCGCAGTGCTGCAACGCACGTGGTGCGGGGCCGGGATCGGTATGGGATGGAGATCATGGAGATGGGGATGAAGACGACGTTGCAAACGGGAAACATGCAACAGAAGGGGATATGAATGACGTTTGCAAAGTTGCATAATTCCGAGAAAGGGGTTAGCATCGCAAGTCTCTCCAAAAATAAAAAAAAGCCGAAGGTGCCGTGTGGGTGAGAGATGTTGTTGTAGACGTTAGTGTAGAAGTCGGCAGGCTGAAGGTTGGTAAGACGTCGAAAGAACGTCATCGTCGCTCCGGTTAAATACAATCCTGGGTAGCAGCGCCGCGTTGCAGCAGCCGCTTAATTTCAGCGATGGAAAACTTTGCGAGGACAGGAAGGATCCTTCTAGGCTTTCGCTTTCCAAGGCATTTCAGTTTTGAAACCTTTTTCGCTTCGCTTACATTCATCATTCTCGATCCCTTGGATGGCGGCGACCGAGCGACCGAGCGGCAGGCGAGGGTTTGAGTTGGAATGAGCAATGCCAAGGGATGGATTGGATGGCCGTTTGAGCTTGAACAAAGTAAAGAAAAGTTCATGTAAGCGATTGCAAATTGCGTGTCTCCAGCCCTAGCTGGTCCTTCAAGACGAAACGAAACGTTTCGTTTCTGATTCGAATGCAGTGGCCATTGAGTTGCTCACAGTGAGCGGCGGCAATTGCATTGTCTGCCATTCATTCAGGCCCAAGGAGTCCAGACCCATCGAACGCCGTGTAACTTCTTTTTGGTGGTCAACGGGTGTTTACATGACACTACCGACATTCATCATCGCATCACGGCTACGGACCGCGGCGCGTTGAAATGAAGCTTCATTCACGACACACGACGGTTCCAGAAGAGGACGACGAACGCGATGACCGAGCAAACCGAATTTCGCATCTGATGACATGCACGGCAGTCGGTGTGAGGTACATCTGGCGGAGTTTCTTAAGTTGATGCTAGAAAAAAGGAGAGATGCCAGGTGTAGTGTACTATGGTGTAGAAAGAGTCGGAGCCGAGCCCACCGAACGACCTGGCCTACCGCCACCGCGTGAATTGAATGGTGAAAAGAGACAGACCCCTTCACAAGCCAAAGTCGAAAAGGGAAAAGGCGCGATGGAGTGGCAATAAGACCGGTGGTTGGCTGGTTGTTACAGTTGGGGGTGGGGCGGAGAGCTTGAAGCTTTCTCCCTGCAAATTCAGGGACGGACGACCTAAGGAACCCACTTCCAGGTTTGTGGGTTTGGGGGCCCCCGTGGTGGGGATTGAGGTTCGTTGTCCGTGGGGTTGCTTTTTGGCTTCCTTTCCTTTGTCTCCCATCTCTCTGCAAATCCCCCTTGACCTTTGCAAAATTCCATCCTCCCCGTCGCGCTTGACTGGAAGTTTTGAATTGACCTGACCAGTCTCGTGGGTAGTTCTCTTTCTTGTCTGTTGGCAGAAATTGTTTGCCAGGATGCCGCATCTAGACAAGCAAAAGGCACACGGGCGGCGCTGGCTGGCTTCAATTTGGCGTTGGCGTTATCTGGCAAGGCATTTTCTGAATTTACAATAGTTACCGCCACGGCATTTTCCCTCTTCGGTCTCTGCCAATCGAATCGGCCATTGGCGCAATTGGAGCAACCAGGATTCGGGTCGGCCCACAGCTTCTAGCGGGGTGACATTGCATCCATGGTGCCAGCCAGGTTGTGCAGCCTGGTGCTTGCAGTGCTGCTGCAGAGCGTCTGCAGAGGTCTCTCACGGAATCCATCAGTCGTTGTTGCTTGTTGCATCCTGCCAATGACAGGGGGTCAATAGACTCCAACTAACCAATGCTACCTTACTTTTCCGTTGTCTCTGCCAAGGTTCACCGGCAACACCCATTCCTTTTTGGTTTCTGATACCGGCGAAGGCGGCGAAACTAGCAAAAGATAACCAAGAAATGGGCGGCCGACTCTCTGCCGCGTGGTCGGTCAATTGGGCCGTCCGCTATGTATCCAACTACTAGTGTAACCACGCTTGGATAGGGATTGGATGGACGGGATTGGTCCAAGGGCCTGCCATCTCCGATCTCTTTCTTGTTCGCGTGGTGATCGCTTCAAGTGGAAAAGTGGTAAAGATTCTTGGACGTTAGGGGATTTTGGTACCGCTACGCACATAGGGGGTGGGTCCCCCTGTCCAGCCTTCTCTCTCAACCTTGTTCGCCTTTTTCCCTGCTTCTTGGTCTTTGACTTCCTGGACCCTGTCGCAACGCCGTTCCCCATATTCTTCATGTTCCGTACAATCTCTTAAGCTCACCACGCGCTCGCTCGTTTCTCTTTTCTTTCTCTTCAAGGGCTCGGGTACTTCACCGTGCGTTACAGTAATACGGAGATTTGGGAGATTGGAAAAGGACCTGGAGCATCCATTCATTGTTTCCAGCATTCGTTACAGTATCCGTCACACATTCGCTGTCGCAAATTTCCAATTCAGTTTGGCAAGTGCGAGTCGAGCACAACAAGGAAGAGCTTCGGGCAAGAGACGGGAAGAACCTTCCCCTGGAACACCACCTCATTTCAACGAAACCGTCAGATTCGCCAACTGAAGCGTTTGCGGCTCTTCACTTGTCGTTTGGACCCACCCACCCTCACTCCAGTCACTCTTCCTCGCTGCGAACGGAAAAGTGAAAGAGTTATTTTCTACCTCTTCCTCTTCCCCAACCATCGTTTACCTCTAGGGTGTCAGTCGATATCTTTTGGACGGGTACTTTTTCCGTGTCACATCCATCATGAAGGCATCATTCCTATCCGCCGTGGTCGGCGCCGGCCTCACGCATGCCCTCCCCACCATTGAAGCTGTGGGAAATAAGTTCTTCACCAGCAACGGCGACCAGTTCTTTCTCAAGGGTAAATATTCTTTGTTCCCATGCTTGTCCTTCCAAATCATCGTGGATCCCAGCTAACAATGGCCCAGGAGTTGCCTACCAACTGACGCCAGCTGACCCCTTGATCGACACCGAGCAGTGCAAGCGCGATGCTGCCCTTATGGAGAAGCTCGGCGCAAACTCGATCCGTGTCTACCATGTTGATCCCTCGGCAAACCACGACGGCTGCATGGACGTGTTTGAAAAGGCCGGCATCTACCCCTTGATCGATTTGGACACCTTTGACACCTACATCTTGCCCGTATGTTTCTGCCTGATCCGCGAAGAAGCAGCTCTTGATACTAACAAACACCTACAGAACGATCCTTGGTGGAACCAGACCCAGCATGATAGGTACGCCGAGGTCATGGATGCCTTTATCAAGTACGACAACGTTCTGGGCTTCTTCATCGGCAACGAGATTATTATCCAGGCCGACCAGTCTCTGGCGGCTCCCTACATCAAGGCTGCTACTCGTGACATGAAGGCCTACCGCGACAAGAAGAAGTATCGCAAGGTCCCCATCGGTTACTCGGCCGCCGACATTGCCGAACTTCGTCCAATGTTGCAGGACTATCTAACCTGCGGCGGAAACTCTTCCGAGAACGTCGACTTTTTCGCCCTTAACTCGTACGAATGGTGCGACCCCACCAAGTATGCCGAGTCCGGCTATGCCAACTTGCAGAGCATGGCCAAGGACTTCCCCGTTCCCATCTTCTTCTCGGAGACCGGCTGCAACGTGCCAGGCCCCCGCCTATTTGGCGACCAGAATGCCATCTTCGGTCCCGAGATGGTCAACGACTGGAGCGGTGCACTCATCTACGAGTGGATCGAGGAGGAGAACCACTACGGCCTGATCTCGTACGGTCCTAAGCTGGAGCCGACCGCCACCGGCGCCAACATCGAGGGAGGTTTCACCCGAGCTGGCACCCCTACCCCCGTCCTTCCCGATTTCACCAACCTCCAGAACCAGTGGGCTACCATCACTCCTACCGGTATCAAGAGGTCCGACTACGATCCCAAGCACGTCTCTACCAGAGCCTGCCCCACTTCCGGCGCGCAGGGCTGGTTGGTAAACGGCAACGTTGCTCTGCCCACTATCGGCGAGACCTTGACCACCAATGCGCCCAGGCCTGCCGCCACCCAGGAAGCTGAGGTTTCTCAGCCTGCTGGAAGCGCCTCGCCGACCTCGACCAAGAACCCTGCTCCCATGAACAAGGAGTTGACGGGTATGAGCGCTGGTTTGGTTGGAGTCATGCTCTTTTTCACCTTTTGGCTATGAGCGAATGACTTAGCTGGGCTGATGCTTGAAACGGAGCGAGAGCTGGATTTGGCATCATCGTCTCATTTATTTGGTTTTCTTTTTTGTCATG